GCTATGAGTCGGAAACGACTCGACGGCACTTAACAACAACAACAACAACATTAACTTGGTGGATAAAGATCTCCATAACTTGGCCACTGACCATCTCTCTGGTGTGACCATTAACCACTTACTATTTCTCAAATTGTGCCCAGGTAGTAATAGAATTTTTGTAGTTCTCTAAATGTATGCATCTTCTCATACTGTTGTTCCTTCCTGGAATGCCTTTCCCTTAAGTCTTTTCCTATCTTTTTCTTACACTAAAATACTTCATTTAAATATCATCTCTAGAAAGCCTTCCTTGTAGCATCAGGTTATAAAAATTGTCCCTTTTATGTGCTTCCTTAGCAGCACTTGCCAATGTCATCACCTGTCATATAAAATCACCTATTGCGCCATCTATGTCTCTTACCCACACACCAAGTTGTTAGCTTCTCTAGCCAGGGACTATGTATTACCCACCTTCATGCACCCAGAGCTTAGCAAAATACCATGAACATGTTGACTCAACTAAAGGAATGATGACTAATAAAATAATTTAATATAAAATTATTTGATTGCTTAGCTTAAAAATATTTAACTGGCTATCAGTTTCCTAAACGAGTCTGGTTGCACAGGGGTAAGGAATTAGGCTGACAACCAGAAGGTCAGTGGTTCAAATCCACCAGCTACTCCATGGAAGGAATATAAGGCAATTTACTTCCATAAAGATTTACAGCCTTGGAAACCCTATGGGGGTTGCTATGATTTGGAATTGAGTTTCTTAAGGTACAAGGGTATCTTGCCCTTAATTCAGACAATATAATATTAAATCATTAATTTGCTCTTTGAAATGAAAATTTAGGTTATTTTAACAAACTTCTTTATAAGTCAAAATACTATTATTACAGATTTTGGGAAACATGTTGGGTTACATACACTTTTTATGCTTTATTTTTTTTCCTCATCTCTATTAGTTCCTTTGAAGTCAACATAAGTATTGCTTTAGATATTAACCAGATGTTGTAGAATTATATTTCAAAATTTCCTATATACTACTAACACCTTCAATTCAGTAGCAAGCAAAGTTTTTGTCAAGTTTGCAAACAATGCAACAATGCAACACACTGCCATGGAGTCAGATCCTACTCATAGCAACCGCTCCTTGGGTTTCCGAGGCAGTATCCCTATGGAAGTAGATTGCCTGATCTTCCTTCCAAGGAGTGGCTGGTGGGTTTGAACTGCCAGACTTCTGGTTAGCAGTCAAATGCCTTAAGCACTCCACCAACAGAGCTCTTGTCTTTGGTGTCCTATCTTTAAAAAACTATTTTACATTTGTATTTCTACATTGTTCATACTAAATACTTTAAGTCAAATGCCTTAGGCACTATGCTACCAGAGCTCCTTTAGGAAAGGTAAATTGAGGTAGCTTTTATTAAAATATATACATAAATTGAGATTAATAAAATTCAATTAGAAAAGCAAGATCACAAAATAAAGGGATAATGATTAGTGCACCCCCCCCCCAATTTAACACCTAGATTCCACAGCCCCACCAATGTACTCAGCCCTTCTCAGCTGAGGCCTGAGAACCGGAACTTTTAACTACTCTGATCAGTAACTGATTAAGCCTCTCTTACTACCTTCCCGGGGAGAGTCAAGAGACTTGCACTTTAAACCTCAAGAGCTGCTTGTTGACTCTTACGTGGGTCCTAATTGGCCCTAGTCAACGACTCTCCAATAATCCTGAGCTCTCCCTCTCCTTGCTAGGTGGTGAGGGATATTGAGTACAAAAACTCACTCAGGTCCCTCAGGCAGCTCACTCCTTCGACTCCCGGGGCATCACTTCTGTTAGAACCCAGGGCACAGAGCTCAATAAAGCCATGTGCTGTGAACTTGTCAGCCACCGCACTTTACAGTGAGTTGCTCGAGCAAAAAGCCTTGTTCATCTTATTTGTCAGCTCCTTCCCAGAGTCCTGCCCTCCTGGGTGACACTGTGGGCACTTGCAGTAATTGTCAGTGACAACAGTTACTGTTAAGATGAGAGCAAAGCATTTTCACTGACGGAGCATCAACTTTGGATCTGAATTACCTGATTTAATGGGGGAAAAAAAAGGATTTCAAGGTTAGGCAATCTATTTCCTTAGTGATACCGCCTCAGAAACCCCAGGAGGGGTCACTATGAGTCCGGTCCGACTCAATGGCACATAACAACAACAACAACAATAAAAAAATAATCAGAATGTTTTAACCAGAAAAATTTGGGTATTTATGGCATCTTGCTTTTAAATTCAGGCCATGGTATTCATCATTTAAAGGTAACGAAACACTGTGTAACATGTTAGCCTCGCTCAATGCATGCTAAATTTAATTATAAACTGGAAATCGTACGTAATCATCATGATCATTTTGATACAGTTAAATATCTTATTGTTAAATATCAGAGTAAAATCATTTTATTGCTATAATGACTTCATGTTAACAAGCCCTAAATCCTCCTCCAAAGCTTAGAGCTCAATTAAAAGAGTGAAACACTTAGTGAAATTGTATGCCTGGCATTGACTCTGCAATTAATATAGTTGTTGCATGAATAATTTTGGTAGCTTCTCCCATCACCCCCAATCTATCCTTGGCCAAAAATTGTTTCAATTTACAATGTTTTGGATAAAAAGACAAATTATGTTGAATTTTTTTTTCCAACCATAGGGTTTTTGTCACAACTAGCAATAGGTGATATATCCTTATGTTACTAAACTCCATATATGTTCAACAATCTACTATATAAATCTATGTAGGGAAAGAGTAAATGAATGAACAAGTTAAATAGAAAATTAAGAAAGTGATTTGAGTGTCTCTACAATTCCTAACTTTGAACTACTTCTTACCCATTCCAGAGATAGGCTTTCTATCGCTGTCTCTTTACATCATAACTCACTATTCTTAGCTACCAGATTAAACCAGGGGTGAATCACAAGCTAAAACATTCAAATTTTCTCTCCATAAATTTGGAACTGAGATTGAGATAATTAATCACTTTCTATACATTCATGAAATGTAAATAGAAGTGAGACCCCTCGGACATATGGCAAATCTGCAGAAAGAGACAAATGAAACAGGTAAACAGAAGTGAAAAAGAACAAGCATTCCTGTGCAGTCCCTGGATTCCAGGCTTGATTAATCTAATTCAGATCCCTTCTCTTGTGGTCCTGGACAAACCCACCCTTGGTTAGGAGAGCCTTTAGGTTTAAGCTAATTCAATATAGTTTCTTTTAAAGCAAGCAAGACTTTTTCTCAACTGATAAAGTTGCTTATCTCAGTCAGAATTAGATGTTATATTTAAGGCAGGGAGAATGATTCGATTCATTTTACTGCATGAGTGTTCTGGGTTCTGTCTTAATCTTTTCTATTTCTACTGTCTTAAACACTTTTCACAATAAGGGACTAATATTCTTAGGAGAGTCAGCTTGATTTAGTGCAAACAGTAACATCAAAACTCTGCATTTTGCATGGATATTGTCACTGAATTGCTCTCTGAGCAAGGCAAAATACATTTTTTTTCCAGCTTCTTTCTCTGTATGATTGAGGACTAATTCTGTTTAACTAGTTGTCCATTTCCAGAAATTAGATAAATTGATAAGAAGCTTTTATGAATTTAAGAATGTAAACTTCCCTTAAAACACATATAATGGATACTGAGACATTCTTTTACATTTTGATGTTCTATGGACAAGACAGGCAAACTGGACAAAGTGGAAACACTATCAAAATGCTGTTCATACTGTGCCTGAACTGTAGATAAATGGAAACTATTTTTAGCAAAAAAATATGGCACCTTTGATGAGCACTTTCTTTAGAAATTGGTGTCCTTCAGGTTCACACTGAATTTCACACAGAAGAGCACAATTTGGAACACTGCCGAACAAGGCAATAGGGTAATGTGTAAATTGGCTATTTCCTTTTGGAATCAGTATGCATTTTGGCTACCCTTAGACTCCTGTAACAGAAAACTGGCTGAATCTCTAAATAAAATCTAAATTGGAAATAGAGAGAACAAGAAACTCAACCACACATGACTGGGCATGCTAAAGAATTCTAATATAACAATGCAACTATGCATTGTGTAATAATAGACTATGGTTAAATTATTTTCTCAGAAATTTCTTACATCAATGACAATGTTTGAGAAAATATTTTAGTCTTACATACAATTATTGGCTTCCTGAATAACCACATTTTCACACATTTACCATTTCTTTGTCTCAGAAGTTGTACCTTTAACCCTGGTACCCCTAAGTTGCTATAGGGTTCATTCATTCACTCCATTCCAGTGCTCACTGCTATCCCTATATGTTCTCTCTTCGTATCCTTAGTTGGTTAGTTTATTTTCTTAAAGCATATTTTCATCTTCCAATTTCCTTTTCCTCTCATTTATTTGTTGCCTTGTACCTTATTATGTGTCTGTGAGTGCAGATAAATGTGATCTTTTTCTGTATGTGCCAACAGGAGTATATGTACATGAACCATAGAAGCTTTCTGATTCATTTTTTATAGTAAATATAAATATTTCTCTCAAGTACTCACTTGAAATCCAAATGTATTGTTCTGAGACCCATGCCGTGGCACTCCTGGGTTATCACATGAAGTACGGGTGGGTTCTAAAATTAAGATTAAAAACATATTATTTCTTATAATTTGTAGTCAATATATTCATCTTAGGAGCTCTGGTAGCATAGTGCCTAAGGCACTTGACTGCCCACCAGAAGGCTGGTGGTTCAAATCCACCAGCCACTCCTCAGAAGGAAGGTTGGGCAATCTACTTCCATAGTGATACTGCCTCAGAAACACAAGGAGGGGTCGCTATGAGTCAGGTCTGACTCGACGGCACACAACAACAACAACATATTCATCTTATACAAAACTTAAATGATCTAGTGTTTAATGTATGGATCCCAGGTAAAAATAAAGAATGTCAATCTGATGGTAATAGTGTCTGGAATAATATCTCTAATGGTATTTAATACTATCTTTCCAAGGAAAGAAGCCTGCTCAACCTGAAGTGAGAAATTTAGGTAGACTGAATATTACATGATTTATGTAATTCTCAAACTTTCAACCCCTCTAGTATTAAATCACTTGATACCCAACTATCTCTCAGGATGCAACGTTAAGGAAAAATGAAGGGTATGGAAGAACACATTCATAAACCATTTGCTCAAAGAGACAGTTAAACCACACTATCAGGTAGGGTAATATTCCTCTGAAGGACTGAATATATTTTTCATAACCAAAAAAAACAAACTCACTGCCATTGAGTCGGCACCAACTCAGAGCAACCCCTCTTTGGGTTTCCAAGGCGGTATCACTGCAGACAACAACATCACTATGGAAGTAGATTGCCCAGCCTTCCTTCCGAGTGTCTTGTGGGTTTGAACCGCCAGCCTTCTGGTTAGCAGTCAAATGCCTTAGGCACTATGCCACCAGAGCCAAGATTAATTGTTTGTGTTCTTCACTGACACTGTAGTAGATGCAGGCATTAGGAATATTCCAGATAGGGACAGTAGTTTTTAAATTGGCTCATTTGTATGAGAACTTATTTGATTACCTTACTAAATGTGGCATTTAATTTCAGGATTATAGAAATGTACTCACAGTCATTTTGAAATCAATATATCTTTAGATGTTTGGAACAAATTTAATTTCATATGAATATGCTCTATTAACTATGCAGATCTATACAAACGTTAGAGAATATTAATGTTATCAACCTGATAGCTTATTTTATTTTTCATTTTTTTTTATTAATAAGAAAATTATTTCAAGTGTTTCCTCTGGGTTTTTAAATAAGCGATATTTTTAAATATTAATTTCAGCACTCTCTAGTTGTTCTATACTTTACAATTCTTTTTCATATTTATACACTACAGTGAATAGGATAAATAAAAGCATTAAATGATGCCACTATCTATGACTTCCACAATTACTGAGCATAATCAAACTTTAATTAATATTACCTATGCAGTGAGGAGACGAACCACTCCAAGTGCCATCTGCTTGACATATTTTGGTGCTTGATCCCACCAATATGAAAGGAGAATTGCAGCTGAATGAAACCTCAGACTGGTAGATAAAGCTTTTCCCTTCCCTTCTTCCTTGGGCAGGTATACCAGGGTCACCACAAAACTTTGCTATAAGTTGGAGAAAGACATTTGTAGAAATGATTTAGGCTTCCATAGAAAAAATACTTTAGCAAATGATGACACCTTTGATTTTGCAATGTCAAGTTTAGAATCATTATTATAGCAATGCCATTGTAAGAACTTGATTTGAATGAACTTGCAAAAGTGACGTGGATTTATTGCAGAAAGAGATTTTGGCACATATTACAGAGAATTCTGCTAAGATAAATTATAAATAGATATGAATAAATGTCCAACATTATAATTTATCTAAAAGTCTCTTAATTTTGAGTAATAATTTTGGAAAAATATGAAATCTATAAATGTACCAGTTCAGCCTAAAATTTGAAGTCAGAGCAGAAAAAACATGACTGGATTTTGTGAAATGTAGCTAAGTTAGTAATGATTTTTCTTTGAATTTAAATTAAGCATTCAAAAAAGTTTATTCTATCAAAATTTTTTAATTTAAATAACACTATTCTTGGTGAAATAACTCTAAGAGAGGGAAGATGAGGAAACATACATTAAAGTACAGAAATGATACATACGTAAGCATTGTGGTACTTCCCCACTCCATGTTCCATTCCCTACACAGGTCAAAACAGCAGGAAAAGATAGTTCATAGCCTGGAGAACAGATGTAGCTAATACTAAAGCCCCAGTCGAAATTTGTTCCTTCCAACCTTCCATTAGAGATCTGGGGAGGAGTTGGGCAGGTAACAGCTGCAATTACATTAAAAGTGATTAGACGCAGCTGTTCAAATATCCTGGGTGTAAAAAAATATATATATCATTAGAAGAAACATATGTGCTAATTTAACCTTTTGGAGGACAATATGGTGTGACACATTTTATTCTCCTGGTAGCATTCCTGAAACGTCCCCAAAATTAATCCCTAAGGATGCTACTATTTCTTGGCAACATAATGGCTACTAGTTGTCAGAGATCCCCTTATAAAATAGCAAGCTACCTGACATCTAATAATAGAGGGGGACCTTCTATCCAGTATACTGTAACTGATAAATTATTGTTATTATTGTTAGTGTAAAAGTATTTTCCAATGACCTTTAAACCAACTGAAGAGCTATGCCTCCTTGGTTTCCCAGGCAGTATCACTATGGAAGTAGATTGCCCAACCTTCCTTCTGAGGAGTGGCTGGTGGGTTTGAACAACCAGCCTTTGATTAGCAGTCAAATGCCTTAGGCACTAGGCCACCAGAGCTCCTTGAGAAAAACAGTAGTTCTATAATTTCACATGATCGTTCCCAAATTACAGAAATTTTTCTCCTCACACTTTCAATGACTTCATTCAAGTGAGTCACAAAGTAAAGTTATGAATTATTAAGATCATGCTCTCTTCTAAATAATTATCAATGAATGTAAGTAATAATGGTGACTATATATGAGAATAAATGATATTTTATTTTTGGCTGAATTAAAGTACACTTCCATATTAATAATAAGATACAATGTATTTGTGGAAATATTTTTAAATCTTACATGTAGTATGTGTGGTTTAAAATAAAAATTACAGCAGGTATTATTTTTAATACTAGGCAAAATAAAACTGAGTGCAGAAAACACTATTTAAATTTATTTTAAATTTGACTATAAAGAATAAAGTTATATGTGAAAGTTGTTACTTATAAATATTGAAGAAATATTGAATAAATATCTCACCTCTGCAAGTTGGCAGTACTCCACTCCATGTGCCATTAGTTGTACAAGTCCTGATTCTGGAACCATTCAATTCCATTGTATAGCCTGGCTGGCACATGTAAGAAACATTTTGTCCAACCACATAATCATCTCCATATCTTAGTCCATTGGCTGGTATACCTGGGTCTCCACAACTGATTACTATCAGTATTGGATGAGAAGAGCAGATGGTTAATGTGGCATCTATTTAATAGAGAAGAGTAATAAGCATATGGCATGCCTAATATACAAATAGGAAAAAATAATTATTATGTTCATTTTTAGTCATAAAACATAAGCATGTTAAAACCATATATTGGTAGTTCCTGATTATGGTCAGGTGTGCTTGTTACAGATTCTATACATCTGGTTCAGAAAATATCATTTAGACCCTGAAAAAGCTATGATGTAGGGAATGCTGATACTGTAAGTTCTTTGAAACTGCATTCCATGACATTAGAGAAATCATCCTATAGAAGCATGATTCTTGACATACCATTTGAGGTCTGTATTCCTATATTTAGGAGCTCTGGTAGCATAGTGCCTAAGGCATTTGACTGCTAACCAGAAGCCTGGTGGTTCAAACCCACCAGCCACTCCTCAGAAGGAAGGTTGGGCAATCTACTTCATAGTGATACTGCCTCAGCAACCCAAGGAGGGGTCATTATGAGTTGGGGCCTGACTCGATGGCACATAACAACAACAACAACATCATTCCCACATTTAGGAGCCTTGGTGGGTTAAGTGCTGGGCTGCTAAGTGAAATGTGCATGGTTCAAGCCCACCAAGTGTTCCACAGGAAGATGTGGCTGTCTGCTTCTGAAAAGATTTACAGCCTTGGAAACCTCCTGGGCTCAATTCTATTCTGTCCTATAGGGTCACTATGAGTTGAAATCGACTCAGTGGCTATGGGTTTGGTTATTGGTTTGTATACCCATATTTAAAATCAACAACAACAACAAAAAAAAACAGAACAAAACAAAACGCTCACCAAGCCTGCTGTTTTCAAGGATTCCTATTCATTGTAATCCCATGTATCACAGGGCAGAGCTGCTTCATGGTGTTTTCTTGGCTGTCATCTCCATGGAAGCAGATCACTGGGCCTTTTTTCCAAAGTGCTATTGGGTAGGTTTGAACTGCCAACCTTAAGGCCTATATATGGCCACTGAAATCCCCACTTTATCTGACTTGTTGCACATTGTCACACAACTAGATATCATAAAATGTTTTTATCAAAACAATGCTAGGTCAAAAGCAAAATTTTTTATTGGATAAATAATAAACTAATGAACGATAAACTGTAAATTTAGTATATACATGATGAGCTAAATAATTGTAGAGCCCGGTGCAGAATGAAATTTTAGGCCTGGTTCTCAGGGACAGGGGAGATTGATTTCAATCTCCCCTTTCCATGAGATCATTGGTAACCCACAATTGAAAAGCAAGTACAAAAAGAGTAAATTCTTCTCTGGGTGGTTGGGTAGGTGACAAGCCTTGCTTAGTAACTTGCCAAACATATCATGACACTGTGAAACCACATGAATCCTAATCATCCCCTTGCTGTTCCAAGGCCACAACAAGGTGACGAGGACAATGTTCCAATGGAGGATTACCCTTGATGATGCAATATGATCGACCCTCAGGGTACAGAGTGCTAGCATCTGGACAGGAGTGGCATGGAAGAGGCCTGGCAGGACAAGAGGTAACAAGGGCTAGGGAGCAAGAGGCTTGGAACCCATTCCAGGAATGCCAGGCAATGGGATCACACATGAACTGAGCTTTAGTGTTTAGTACATGCCCCACTGTCCCGTCAAACTTCATCTACCAAAGACAAATTAACAGATAAATTTATGAAGAATTTTAAGATGGTGATCACAGAGTATTAAACCAAGCCTGGAATACCTCTGACCATAAGATCCTATCACGTTCACTTGATAACCTGGCCTTAATCACATAGATAGATACACCTTAAGTTAAGATGTATCACAAAAGCATTTCAGAAACTTGAGAAAGCATAAGAAATAAAAGCTACACTAAGTATGGCTTTTAATAATAAAATATAATAGAAATTTTATATGTGTATATGTATATATAAAAGATACAAATGCTAGGTTTTTGGTGGTGCATGATTTAAGCATGATTTGGGCTAAAGGCTTTCTGACAGCTAAGAGAATAGCAAAACTAGAAATTTACACTGTATTCTTTTCCGGAGATAGCATTTAGCATATTTGTCTTTTAACACACTGAACCTTCTTTGCTGACATAAAGGTAAGTAATTTCACCAGGTAAATCTGGATAATATTCTTGAAAAAAACCTAATTCTCAGGATTTTGGAGGTGGAGGGTTAAAGGTTAAGTTTTGATTCAGGCATGGAAGATTTTAATAGTGCTCAAATTGCACGGTATTTTAATTTATTATTAAAACTATGAATTTCAAGATTCTTTTCATATTATTCTAATGTGTTGAGGCTAAGAAGTTTTACGACCATGAATAGTGGCATTTAAATTAAGAACAATATTCAGGGCAGTGCACCTGATAATCCTTGGTGCCCTTGGGACATTTTGCTGAAATCATATTCCTGGAGTGTTTCTATCTGACTTCTAATTAGAGTTTTTTATACAGGATGATTTTTCTTCCTGTGATTACTGATGAAGGGAACATCTTTTTTTCAATAACATAACTGAAGTTAGGTAGAAAATCTAGTACCACTACTGACTTACCAGGGGTATCTCATTTCCACTCCACAGTTTAAAATTTCATGAGCATATAAATATCTGGATAAGCTTTCAATTTACTTTATTTTTATGTTATTTTACGTTTTTAACTTAGAGTCCTAATTAGGAATAAGAAATATTAGAGAGAACACCTACAAACTGCTGTTATATGCAGGCAGTGCTTTACCGATTGAATTAGAATTTTGGCAAGAAAGAACAGCTAGCCGGGCTGTAAGGAGAAGATGTGGAGACGCAGCTACCAAGAGAGGACAGAGGGTTTATTTACAGACGCACTGGGAAAGAGTTCATGTCTCATGGCCTATCGTGAATGAAACATCTGACAATAAAAGCTTCAGAATGGTTGGTTTGGTGGTTTCCTAATGAAGTAAAGGCCAGTCAAAGAGGCAGTTTCCAATAGCAACAGTCTTTGTAAACAGCACCTGCTCCACAAGCTAATCCATTCACTACCAGCTTGTTTCCAACAACAAAAAGAGGCTTTTGGTCTCTTAGGCAAAGGCTTAAGAACAGTAGCTCATTAAGGTTTCACCCTAGTTTTCAGAGATATCAGTGCATGGAAGCAAGAGGCTGTGGTTTCATCGCAAGAAAATCTTTTGTAAGCTCACCAAAATCCCTAAGTACACATCATACCCACCACACACACACACACACACACACACAGCACACTCTAAGCATACAATAAACTCCATGAAGGCAAATATTTCATTTCTGTTTTGCCCTGTTATATTCTCAGAGAATCAATTCTAGTACAGGTATCCTTATAGGAGATTACATAAGTATTTGTTTAAAGGATGATGTGCATAAATGATTAGCTTAAATTTTTAAACATTTGAAAATTATTTTAAAAATTTTATTTTACTTTGTGAGAGGTTTTCTCATGAGCTGCTATCATGTATCTGATGAACACATAACATCACTCATTACAATATCTAAGAAGATAATCTCTACAATGAGAGTAAAATAGGTAAGTGTTGTAACACTAGTCAATCTAAGCCACTTCAATGCTACTTTCTCTTTTAACTAATATTTAAGACATTTTTAATTGTAATCCATATAAATCCATATAACTTATTTTTAATGATATAATATTTCATTATGTGGATACATGCAATATAATTTATAACCAACCTCCTTTTGACTGCTGTTTGAATTTTCCAAAGTTTTCCTATTACAAAGTATTGAATATGCATAGAATATGCTTGCACAAGCATCATATGTTTTTCTAGGCTTGTAACTTCAAGCCCAGAATAGAGTCCTATTGTAGCAGGATGAAATTCCAGAAAGGCAGTCAAACCATTCCCCTAATAATTGTCCCAATTTTAAGTAATTTTTCAATTCAAATGTTGGTTTCCCTTTTTGATCCCACTAAAGTAGGATTTCTCCACTTTAACCTCAGCACAATTGACATTTGGGGGTGGTAAGGCTGGAAGATGGGGCAATCTACTTCCGTAGTGATACTGCCTTGGAAACCCAAGGACGGGTCACTATGGGTCAGGTCCAACTCAAAGGCACATAACAGCAACAACAACACAAGGCTTTGTTCTGGAAGACTGACACATGTGTTGTAGGAAATTTAGCAGTATCCCTGCCCTCTACCTGCCAACAGCATCCCCTATAAAAATATCTCCAGACGTTGTCAAATATCTCCTAGGGATCAAATTTAACCCCGGTTTAGGATCACTGTACAAAGAGATAGCTCTTAGCCTTGATGAGGCTTAAATATTTCTTGTCTTTAACCTACTTATTTCCATGATGGGACACCATCTAGCCCTCTTGTGTCATACTAGTCCCATGTCCCTGACCTAGTTCTCTGCAAGATGTAAAAATAAAATAAAATAAAACTGAAAATTTTCTGGTTTGCTATTAAGGTCCAGTTTGGACGATGCCTATGCTAGTTATCTGGAACAAAACCTTTAAGAGTCGCTCATTAACACGACCTGGTTAAGTATGCTGTCCTGGCCCAAATGAACAAGACCTGCCGGATGCAAGCTTCAGAATTTTGGAAGCAGAAGTCCTGACAAGCAGGAAAAAAAAAAATTACGTTGGAACATGAACGAACATGTTTCCTTTTAGACCTGAAAGGGAATCCTTACTCCATTTCAGGGCTTACCACAAAGTCCCTGAGACAGTGTCATCTTTGCAGAGGGCAGTCCTATGTGCTCTAGGTACCAGAGGTGGTGCCCCCTGTTAGACACTGAAAGGTGATCATCTCCATATAATTGATATCCTAAAGTGTTTTAATGCTGATAGTAACCCCTGTATTTTTTTAATGAGTGTTTACTTGTGCTTAGTTTTTAGATCTTTTCTCTCTCTGTCTGAACATGACAGAAAAGAATATTACCAAATCGTTTAAATCATACTCCCGCTTTGAGCTGTCTGGTATTTCAGCAAAAATCTTTTTCTTCCAGGTTGGCTCATTCTGTGGATGTTTCTAAACACAAGTGATCTCTGCAAAGTGTGCATGATATTCAA